GATCAGGCTACTTACTTATGGCTTCTTGGCTGTTCATTCGTGTGCAACCAGCGGTGGGGCTAGCCCTGCCAGGGAAGTAAAGAGTGAGCCCCTGGGTACCTGGCTGTGCATGTCAAGCCAGGCATCTTAAATGAGAAGCTATTGAAAAGACCAAAGTGCAGATAGTGTCCCTGGCCGCACATAATGGTGTCGGTGGGAGAGCTCTGTGGCACAGCACCCAGCTGCAGAGCTGGTACCCAGAAAGCCAGGGAGCAGTGGCCTTCTTTGCTTTACAAATAGGTATTGCCTTTGGAAGCGGGATCAGTTGTAACATATTTATTGAGAGAATGAAAGACAAAAAGCAGAAGCCTCTGCCAAGAGCAAGTGAAAAGGGCTTGCTTTTTAAAGAACTACCACAGGACCGATTACCTTTCCAAGTAATTAAGCATTGTGAAAGGTTATTAACGTGCTGATAATAGACAGCTTTGCAAACTGCCAGCACAGTATGATCTGACAGAGGATGGCACAATGGCAAGGAGCAAGCCTGCTCTGCCTGCTGTCCTTTGCAGCCCCACAGGCTGGATGTGCCTGCAGACACCAGCCCAGGGGCTCAAGGGTGCCAACACTTCCAGCTGTGCTGAGTGCCTGCAGGGCTCACCCTTACTGGTGGGAGGGCTATGGGATCGCAGCTTCCTGCATGGATTGGATTGGGTTGGATTGGATCGGATCATTGCACTCCAACCAGGGGCAAGGCAGCAGGTGCCCACAGGCAGCCCAGGACCTGTCCGTGCTCGCAGCCCAGTGTCGGTTAATGTGCATTAGTCCTCTTAAACTGCCTCGCACCCTCGAACACCATCTCTGGTTGTGGACCCAGTGGTATTTCCATGTGTGTCACTAACCTGCTGTGGAAGCAGGCTTGCAGAGGGGCAGGATGCGTTTGCCTGAAGCCACATGTGCACAAATGTGGCCCAGGCTGAGCCTGCTGATCGCTCCCCTTCACCAGCTCCTGAGGGTGCCCCTGCTCTGTTTACCTGGGCTTCAGCCTCATGCTTTGGGAGTGCTCCCCCAACACATCCCTATCTATAAAGTTACCTGCGGGCAGGGGCAGCCCTCACTGATCCCAGCTCCTGGGATGCTCCCACAAGCCTTAGGATCACATCCTAGCCAGAGGGATGGTAGGTGGGCAAACACTTGACCAGAGCAGCCACCTCCCATTCCTTCCCTGAGACTGGAGGTAGAAAAGCTCTGCTTTTAACTCATCTTTCTGTACTCAGCAGCAAGAGGAAGAAGGCGGAGGAAAGAAAAGTGCAGGCCGTGGTGGAAAGATTCAGTAACATCCTGGGGGAGAGCATCCTTGCAACCCTCCTAAAGCTTGCCCAGCGTTATAAAAGCTTGGTACATTTTCCTGGACTCAGTGTTTGTGTTGGCGTGACACCATGCATTGCTTTAGAAGAACTTAAAGTGCCTTTGCATGTAGGCTGTGTGCAACCCGAGCTTCTAGGTCACCCTGCTGCTTTCAAAAGCCTTGTTCTGTATTCCTGAGCAAGCCAGCAGTTTATTATGGGAGGTGTTTAGACTGGGGCATTTAAGAAGTACTACATAATAGCAGTCTCCACCTCACGTCCCAGAGAATTTGGCTGGTATTGCTGGTACTTAAGTGTCATCAGGATAAATACAGAACTAAACCAAATCAGGGTAGTTTGTATTTTCCTGCTGTGACTCTTATAGGCTTTCCAGGGGCTTGGGTACAAAGAACAAGGTACTTCTTCATGCATGGATTGGGCTATCCCTAAGCACAAATGGATAGGAGCAAGGTTTTCAAGATATGCTCCCATGAAGCGAGTGGCCCCGGTTATAGACTCTGGGCAGCCACACTTTGCAGCATGACCAGGGGTTCAGCTTCCTGGTGACACCAACAAGACATCTGGGGCAGTGAGAAGCTGAGTGCCAGACACTCAGTGCTACACAGCAGCCAGCAGGGAACCACCAGCATCACTGAGACCTGTGCCCACAGGTCCACAGGGTACAGGGGCCTCAGCCCAGTGGGAATGCTACCATGCTGCTTCCCTGAGTGAGGCTGCACAGGTCTGGGTTTGGTTTCATGCGCTGGCATCGTTATGGGTGGATTGCTGGGGTAGAGCCTGTCCTGGATGGCAAGAGAGGAAGAAGCCTTTCCCAGATGGATCCTCGGCCCATTTTTAGCCTTAAATGCCCAGTTTCTCAGAAAGCATCAGTGCTCCTAATGGATATTTCTTTGCCAGAGGTATCAAAGGATGAAGTATCCCAGGAAGATGGAAAGAGGCTCTAGATCACAAGGACACCACTGGGATGGAGAAAAGCCGGGCCACACAAGGACAGCAGGCTAGCTTGCAAAGCCTCTCCCTCCCTCCAGGACTTTCAGCAGTGCACAGGTCACCACCCTATGAGACAGAAAGGACACTTCACAGGTTCAGTCAGCAATTAACTTTACCTTTGCTTCTCAGCCGTCTGTTCTGCTCACTCCTAGTGAGCTGTGCTGAAGCCCCACCACTGCCTCGAGCCGTGTCTGCAGGCGCTGCGCTGATCAATATTACTTGCTGCAGAAAGTAAGTCTCACTTATTGGCCACACATTCCCCTGAGTGCTTGTGTCAAACCCTTCATGTCAGCTGAAGGGAGGCTCGCCACCAGAAAGGTCAAACTGCCTCAACGAGATCTGAGCTCAGCCATTAACTCCTGTGTGTTTATCTGCCTCCTGCTATCGGGACTATCTTTGTGTGCTACACACATCCCTTCTCCTCCTCCTCCTCCTTGCTGCCATGCTGCTGGGAGTACTTCTGAGGGGCTGAGCCACTCAGGCAGGAACAATGAGCTGTCTGATAAGCTCAGCTGGGTGATCCACTTGGCCTGCACCAAGTGCTTCACACAGTTAAGGTCCAAAACTCTGCAGTTTTGAGAGGCTGTTCCCTCCCCTGCCAGCCCAGGCTGCGAGGGCACAGCACTCAGTGCTCCTCAGCAGCATGGCTGTGGGCCTCATCCTGATCATGCCTGAGCACGGGCACTTTAGGCAAAATGCTGTCATAGACTCATAGAACAGATTGGGTTGGAAAGGGCCTTCGAAGCTCATCTAGTCAAGCCCCCTGTAATGAGGGACATCTTCAACTGGATCAGGTTGCACAGAACCACATCCAGCCTGGCTTCTCCAGGGATGGTGCATCCATCACTGGACAACCTGTGCCAGGGTTTTACCTGTCCTCAGCATCTGTTCAGGTGAGCTATGGGAGTGCTAACAGGGTGGGGTTTACTGCTCTTTTTTGGTCCTTCCCACTGCTCTGACACAAAAAAATGTGTTTTTTTGAGGCACTGCTCACAAAATACAGCAGGAGAATAGTCAATTCCCTTACCAGACTGGGCAATGGGAAAGGAGCTGGGTCCATGCTCTGCAGGGCAGTGCTCCTGTCCCCTACAACACGTCCTGTTGCAGTGTCTGCCCAGGAAGCACTGGCAGCCCTGCTTGGGCTCTTGTGGGGAAGCCCCTGGGCACCAGCACTGATGAGCTTCAGTGGGCCCTTTGGCTGCTGGGACCAGAGGTGGTGTCTCTGCAAGAGGCAGGAGCTGGGCAAGGCAGGCTCTCATGCTGCTGAGACAGGTTTGGAGCTGGGCAAACAAACACAGGTATCAAGATAAGACCGTTCATCTCGTGCCAAGAGATGCCTAGAGCTCAGCTCATGGGATCTCAGTTCCCATCTCTTGCATCCCGTGTACTCTAGGGCTAGGAGAGAGCTCTCACCCCCAGGCTGGTATCTCCTGGAGCTGTTTTATGCTTCCCTACACCAGCAAAACGCCATACAGTGTGCGTTGTGGTCACTTTTAATAAGCCCTTGGTCCCAATCCACTTTTTGCACCTGCTGCTCAGTGGGTTGGGAGGATCTTTAATCTGGAGCACTTTAAGAGGGCTGAAGCTGTTTCTGCTTTGAAGTAGCATTTGGCTTTGTCGGCGTTTGGGATCTCTGCAGAGCTGACCCTGTGTGGGGCCAGCAGGACTGCTGGCTACAGCACTGCACCATGGCTGTGCAGCAGTTTGGTGCCCACACTGCTGCAGGACTGCCCTGCTGCCACCCCGCAGGCATCCCAAGACCTGAGCATCACCCAACCCTGCTCCAAAAGAAGGAAAAGCATCACAGCATCTATCTTTATGCTGGGCTTTTATTGGCACTGGAATTGGGAAAGAGTTAAACTATGTCACCTCATCCCTCAGCAGCAGTGAGGGTGGCAGCATTAATGTCATTACCCTGGACTGGACATATGGCAGCACCCACCCTGGCTATCACCTGAGATTTCAGTTGAGGGAGTGACTCCCTGCCCTAAAGATATAGTGCACTGGTTGCTGGAGGGAGGCCTGACGGCCACCCTTCTGAAAACAACAGGGTTATCAGCAGGAGAGAGGGCTCTGTGGCCCGACAGGAGCGGGTAGGAAAATTACTCTGCTTGGCGAAAGGTGTGTTTGCTGAACCACGTCCTGAAGCCCTTTGAAGGAGAAAACCTCCATTCTCCCTTGGATACGCTGCAGTACTTAATAAATAACTGTAATTAAGTGTGAGGTGGTAGCTTAAGAGCTCGTTCCCAGAAGTTAACATCAAAACACTTGCTCTTAGCACTTAGAGAGACAATATGAAAGCAGACTTCACACACGGATGAAAGTAGAGTCGTCAGAAAAGGCTGGAGAGCCCCAGACACGCACACACTGCTTCTTCAGGGAGCTCGAGGAAAAGGTCTTGGGAAGCAACAGAGCCGCTTCTGTAATAGAAGTCCCTTTTGATGAACAGTGACCGAGATAGCACCAGAGTGAGTTTTAAAACAGGAGATGGGAATCTGGTGGGGAGAAGAGGTGGGTGCCCTTTCCTGCCCCGCAGCAGGGACAACCACAGCACCTCTCAGCTCTCCTTCCCTGCCGGCTGGCACGTTTAAGGTGAAGTGGTTACTGCAGGCTTCTTCCTATGGAGATGTCTGAAGGGGTGTAAAAAGAGGAGGGAGGAGAAAGAGAATCGTGGATGCAATGTATTTTTGATCAAAAATCAGTGATCCTGCCCTTAGGCATGTGCCATGGCGTGGTGCTGCCGGGAAGGCTGGAGAAAAAGGACCTGACTGCAGGCTCTGCCACGTGCGTGCCAAGGGCCAAGTCTAAGCCACTGCAGAGTGCCCTTATCCTCTGCTCCTGTAAAAACATGGTGAAAAGCATTCCCAGGTCTGGGTTTCAGCCTCCTAATTGCTGCCGAAATCGAGAAGCATGAGGAGCCAAGGTCTCATTTGCCTTACAATGATCCTCTCCTGCCCTGGAACCTGGGCTGGTCTTAATTTGTCTATGGTTCAGGCAAGAATGGACTAGGCAGAGGTACATGTTATCTCTTGTTTTTTTGGAAGGAGGGAGCCTATTGCACAATGAAGCTTGGTCTGGATGCGGATTAAAAATGCATGTGTCTGGGGCACTGCAAGCCAGGCTGGTCTGAATTACTTTGACCCAAAAAACCAGAAAAGGATCCCAAAGGGCTGATATGGGAATGAGGAGGCTCCATGGGACTGATTACTTTGTTCTCTATGGGAGACAGGGATCACTCCTGTGCGTGTGAGCCCCTCTTGGCCAGAGGGGTTTTGCACTCCCAGGCCAGAAGAAACTCTCACAAAGCTGATGTAAATACACGGTAGAACTTCAGCATCGCATCTGGGGGCCATGGGTCAGGCGCTGGTGGAGGGCAGGGTGGTGCTGGTCCAGCCATGGAAGAGAGGTTCTTCACCCCACAAGAGCTGAGGGTTTGGCCTCGAGTGCGCTTCCAGCTTCCTCCACTTCTTACAGGGCTTTTAACCAGAGGATTTACAAGTGTCAACTAATTGCATCCCCATTAACTGCAGCCAAGTATTAAAACAGCACTTGAATGTCATTTCAAACAAGCTGTTCCCAGACTAGGTCTCATGTAAATGCAGCAGGATGGCTTAGATGTGCCAAAATCGTGTTGGAATAATGTTTGAAAACAGTGCTGAAAATGCTTGTGCTTGAGCTGAGACATAGGAGCAGGTAGCTTAGGTTAGTGATGTGCTGGAGGAAAACTATAGAAACAATTCTAAAGAGGAGGCATGAGAAACCCCCTTTCTCTTCCACTCACAAAATGCCTCAGCACTAACACTCTAACACACCCCTCTCCATGCTCCCTGTTTCTGGCCATCTCTCTCCTCTGGACCAAATACTTTTGCATCCCTTGCTGCACGGTAGTGTGGGTTCTCCAAGCCCACCACCCTGCCTTCGAACGTGGTTGAATCCGTGGCTGGTGGCCCCCAGTGACAGCAGCAGTTCCCAGTGCCTGGTGAACCCCAGCATCTCTGCCTGAGGAGAGCTGGCAGCACAGCCAAGGAGGGACCAGCCAAAACCCAACCCCTTTCATTAAGCTGCTTTATTACAATGCGTGTTTTCCCCTGTCTCTCTTCATCTCTTAACAACTTCAGCCCGGCTCCTCTCACATCCTGAATTAATTCTCTTTCCAGCAAAAGGAAGCACATGCAGATCACCTGCCTAATGTGCAACCCAAGGGGAAAAACACGGTACAGCCTTGTGGTGCCAGCTCAAGTGCATCTCCCTTCCCCAGCCCTGTTCCCACCTTCCTTAAAGACAGGCACTGTGTGAAATAGGCTGGCTGATTTGGGGGAAGAATTTCACTTGCCTGGAGAATGAAGGTGCTGGAAACCAAACAGCATCAGTGGGAGTTTTAGTCCCAAATGCCTGGCTCAGTGCTGAATAAAGATCTGGTGCTGAAGGCTCAGCACCAATGGGCTGCCTGGTTTCAGAGGTGCCTGGAGGCTCTGGGCCTGAGGCAGGTGCTGGCTATCCCTTCGCAGGGAGGACCGTGCGGGTGGAGGAAAGCCCATTACTCCCAGATGAGCTCCTGTGGGAAAATACTTTATCCACAAGACAGCTTAAATGGGATTTTACAGCTTGAACTTAGGTGACTTCTCCTTCCCTACCACCAAAACCGACACACTCAGGGCTGGGTGAGTCCCCCAGAGAGGGTGAAATGGGACATTTTGGGTCTAAGAGCAGTGCTGTATAAAGCAGCATCCCCACTGTATTGGCCACAGGTCACCCCAGAGCCCCATTCTCTGTGCAATGTCTCTGCTCTATCCACTTCTGCCACCTTCCAGCCTGTGGCGGGCAGTGATCTGGTGATGCCATTGCCACCAGCGGCCGGCTGTGACTGCCCTTCCCTGTGAGCTCCCACTGCAGGGAAGCCTTGGACTTCCACCTGCCCTGCCCATGATATACTCTGCTTTGGAGGCCTTGAGTGGCTCTGGGGCTGGGTCTTGGGAGGAAAAAGAAAAGAAAAAGAAGTAGAAAAGTAAAATGGAAAAAAAATAAAAATAAGAGGGGAAATGAAGAAAATATAAATAGGAAAAAATATTTAAAATAAAAATATTAAAAATTAAATAGAAAATAATGATGAATATTTAAAATTAAGGAAAAATAAATAATAAAAGAGAAAGATAAATGTATATAAAAAGAAAAGCAATATAATTAAAAGTAAATAATAATTTAAAATTAAAATAAAGAGGAAAAATTTAAATTGAAAATAAAAAGATAAAAGTAGCAATATAAATAATATAGAAAACTGAAAGAAAACAAAAGAGAAAAGAAAAAAAGAAAAGAGGAAATAACAGAAAAGAACAAAGATAAAATAATTGGGAAAGTGAATAAAAAATAGTAAGTAAAGGTTAAAACAACAGCAAAACCAACACTAGGGTAACGCTGCTCTGAGAACCAGCCGAGCCCAGCGCTCGCTCCCTCGATGCTGTGACGAAGCGGGCGGCGCACGGGGGTGCCGCTGGCTGCAGCCCCCTCCCGCAGCGGGTAGCGCAGGACGGACCCGGTGTGTCACCACCACCCCCCCCCAGATGTGCTGCCCGCTGCCCCCAGCGCCCCCCGGCCCGCGGTGCGCTGCCCCTTTAAATCCCGGCGGCGGAGCCAGGGAATCCCTCTCGCAGCGCGTCATCCGCGGCAAGGAAACCCGCGCTCGCGTCGTGCGACGCAAATGACCATTTTTGGCAACGTGCGACAACGGACGGGACCAAGTGGGGCGGGGGGGAGGCGGGGCCTGACGGGAACACGGCTCCGCACCGCCCCCGCCGCTCCGTCCGCCCCGCCCGGACCCGCGCAATGCCCGCGGTGCAGCGGGGCCGGGAGGGGCGGGGAGAGCGGCGGGGGCGGTGCGGCGGGCGCGGCGAGGGCGGGCTCCATGCCCATGTCGCCGTCCCACCCCCCCCGCGGCGGCGGCAGGTGGGAGGCTCCGCGCTGGCAAGGTGTGTCCGGTGCGCCGCGGGTTTGACGTGTGCGAGTGCACATGGTGCGGGGCGGCGGGCGGATAATAAGCGAGTGGGGCCGCGGCGATGCCATTGCTCTGAGTCACCGCGGCCGCGCACAGCTCCCGCTCCGGTAACCGGCGTGGGGCCCGCTTGAGTCACCCCGCGACGGGAAAAGGGGCGGCCGGTGCTGGTGGTGGTTGGTGGGGGGAAAGGAGGAGGAAGGGAAGAAGGGGAGGGGGGGGCGGAGGAGAACCGCTCCGCCCGTAGCCCCCGGGGCCGCGGCCGCTCCGCCGGCGGGGTGAGTCTCGCCGGGCAGCGCGGAGAGAGGACATCGCGCTGCCTGCGCGCTCCGCTCCCGCCGAGACCGCCCGTCCCGTCGGCGCGCCCCTACTGCCCGCGCTTCTTTATTTTATTATTATTATTATTATTATTGCCATCATCATCATCGTGATTTTCTTTTTTTTTCTCTCTTTTTTCCCCCCTTTTTTTTTACCTTTTTTCCCCTTCTCCAAAGCCTTTTTTGCATCCCTTTCCCCCCGCTGTCCGCGGCGAGCGCTGAGAGGCGAAAGGCAAGAGCCGCCGAAGAGGTCGGGAGGGAGAAGGGGGCGGGGAGACGGCGAGGGAGCGGCGGGTGTCGGTGCGGGAAGGCGGGGACGCGGCTCCCCCGGCCCGACCTCGGACCATGTACCAGGACTACCCCGGGAACTTCGACACCTCCTCCAGAGGCAGCAGCGGCTCCCCGGGACATCCCGAGACCTACTCCAGCGGCGCAGCCCAGCAGGTAAGGCCGGGCGCTGCCCTTCTCCCTCGGTTCCCCCGGGGGCTGCCGCCAGCGCTCCGGGCACGGGAGTTCCCCGCCACACCCGGGGAGCGGCGCTTCCTCCGCGGGGAAGGCGCGGGCGCCCGGCGGAGAGGCGCCGGCCGCGGGGGCGCAGGCGGGGCGGGCGCGGGCTGCCCGCAGCCGTCGTCCTGTCCCGTCCCCGCCGGCGGAGCAGCGCCGCTTCCCTCCTTCCCCGCCTGCTCCGGAGCGGGCCCCGCGACCCTACCGGGAGGGACGCCGAGAGGAGCTCCCCGTCGGTCGGGGCTCGGGATGTCCGCTCCGAGCGGTGAGGAAGCGGCCCCGCCGCCCCGGACTGGGTACAGCGTGGCCCGCGGGTGGCAGTGAGGGGCCCGGGTCCGCGCCCCGCTGGGGTTAGCTCGGAAACTAAAGGGCTCCTCCGGGCCATTGCCGGTACCGGCAGCACACGGGCGCATCTGTGTCTCTTTATCCCGCTTTTGTTCTCGTTGGGAGCTTCTCCGCCGTGCCCCGCTCGCCGCCCGTTCCCGGGCTCTGCCCTGGCTCGCTGGCAACGGTTCGTGATGGCTCTTTCCGGGGCTCCGGGAGCTGCCGCCGAGTTACTCTCAGGGCGCTGCCGCAGCCACGGTAGCGCCGGCAGTGTGGGGGATGACGGGACGGGATTCGGAGCGGGCTCCGGCTTGAAGTCGTCTCCCCGCTTCTCTCCCCCAAAACTTTGTCTCCGGGGCTGCTTTCCGCCTTGCGCACTGCGAGCACCAAAGGCCGGTGCTGAGCCGCTCTGCCCTGCCCGCCGCTCTGCCGCTCCATCGGGAGCCCCGGCCGCCCTCTGCCTGGCTACGGCCTCTTCCCGAACGGGAGTTCCTGGGAGTCGGTGGAGCGCTCCCTGCCCCGGCTCCCGCGGCCGGGCGGCGCTTAGGGAGCGGGAGAGATATTTCCTTATGGAAGCGGCAAAGCCGAGTCGGGCGTTTTTTTGGTTTATTTCCCCCCCACACCTTTTAATTTCCTTAAGAAAACCTTTCGGAATGGCTTATATGCCTACATGTACTAAATCCACCACTTCTGGGGAAGGCATTACACAATCGGGCCGGTTATACAAACCTGGGTTATTTCATAACTTGTTTACATCAGCTGGCCCAGCCTCACTCTCTTTTTTTGCCTCTGAAAAGTCAGAGTCGGGCTGCCCCCCACCCTCCCTAATGTTATTTCATGTGTGGCTCGTATGAGCGACCTGGCAGCGGGAGCGCATCGCTGTCCTCGCATCAAGAAGTCATAAGATCATAAAAGAAGAAGGAAGGGGGGGGGAAACCCGTCCAGTCTTAAACTTTGCCAACCGTACCAGCCCGTGACATTCCTCACATAAAAGAAGTTTTACCAGAAATGACTCTCTGCCGCTCCCCGCCTGCTCCAAACGCATCTCGCTGGTGCCCTCTGCGGGCTGCACACCGAGATTCCCAGCGGTTGTAGCGCGGCTCCGGTTTATCCCCCGTTTTACGGTAAATGCTAGGACAAGACTGTGGGAGAGATGAGGGGAGCTGAGAAGCTGGAAACGCCCGGCTAAGAAGCTGTGAATTCTCCGCTTTCCCTTTCCTCCCTTCGCTGGGTTCAAGCACTTGATGCGGGAGGTCGTGAAACTCCTGATCCCCTTAATATTGAGGTCTGACCCACAACTGGGGGTCCCCCCGTTTCGTTGTCGGGGGCTGCACGTCTTCCCCAGGCAGCTGGTGCGCTTGGCTTTATGATACAGGGGCTGGAGGCTAGTTTCTAGGGTTACTATCTGAAACGGGGCTCTGAGCAGGACACCGGCTTAGTGAGAACATAAATGTTTTCTTTAAGAATCTGGGAGTTTTCTCAAGGCTTGTACGTCGTCTCTCCCTTGATCCTTACAGATGTTGTAGATTAGGATCAAATGTAAGCGTTGCCTTTACCCTAGCAGTCGCGCTGTTCTGCTGATTCTGGTCTTTGGAGAGCTGCAGTTTTATCGCTGTAGAAAATATGCATTGTAGGAATTTTTTCTTTCGTGTCTTTATTTGTCTTCCTTTCCCAAAGCAAGAAAAGATGCACCAGTCACATGGTTAACTGGAAACCCTGTCTCTGAGCCAAAACTTTGATGCTTTTTAATTATTTTTCCCATACAATGCAGCTCTGGAACATTTTCCTTTTAAGTTGCGTGTCAAGCTATTTTCCTAATCACTGACTTGCCATGTGGTAAACATAGACTTTCATGGGAGGAGTTTGTGTACTCTTTCAGACCAGTCGACTTTCCCCTCTGATATCCCAACAGCGTGTCCATTTTTCCTTCGAGGAGATGTTCAACTTGGGAGAGCCACCAGGGCACTTGTATTTATTATAGGATGTGTCCTAAACACCCTGTATTTTATAACTGAGTAGCTGTAAAACGTCCTCGGGGTGGTTTTGCTGTTGGGTTTGGTCTCTTTCCATGGGCGCCGTACCTGTTTCTAGACCTGTTTCTGGTGCTACTCAGCGCTTGCAGTTACAGAGGTAAGCGAAGGTCTGGAGGGGAGCAGAGATGCGGTGGGGTGTGGTGTAGAAGCTCCTTGTTAAGACGGAGAAGGAAACCATGGAGCCAAAGCCTGAAATGTTCCCGTGCTCCTCAGCTGTGACCTGCTAACCGAGCCTGCCCCTGGCAGGACTCACTGGAGACTCCCTGGCTATGGACTGGGGGAGGCTCCCATCCCACCACATAGTTTTGAGGCAGAGCAGAAACTGACCTCAGTTCTTGGCACTCCTAATAACAGGACTGTTTCTGCCTGCTGCTGAGTTGTTGGGGTTTGTTAATGATACCTTCATCTGCGTGTCGCTTGGGTCAGGAGGGGAGCAGTGGCTTGGCGGCTGAGCGTGTGCTGCGTGTGTAGCCCTGCAATCTGGCTATCGCCACAGCTTCTCTGTAGTGCTGTGAGTTCCTTGCAGATAAGGAAAACCAAGAGCCTGGCAGAGAGGTGCCACCAGGAGCCTCTCTCGGATCAGGAGAGGAGAGCTGTGGCTCTCCTGGGTGAGGAAATGACAGGAAGGGGTCTGGAAAGAAGAGAAACGGGGATGTGGGTCAGGGCAGGTGGTGCTGCCAGGGGGATTCAAGCTCTCTGAGGGAGGAGGAATGAGGAGAGCAAAGCAGGGGCTGCAGTGTGGAGAAAGGTCTGGAGCTCCAAAGTGGGGATGCCGGTGCTCAATGGGGCTATGCAGGGCCTGCTGTGTCCCAGGAGTCAGAGCTGATGGCCACGGGGTGCAGCAGCATTTTAGCATAGCTAATCTAATCCAGTGCGGTGTCCTAGCAGGGAAAGACTGACCAGTCAGGAAGCAGTGCTTGTAAAACCTCGTGGTAGCCTGAGTGCCCTTATCTGAAGACTCAGCCTGTCACCCCAGCATGTCCCTGAGCTGGTTATCAAGGGAAAATACAGAACACGGGTTTGGGGGAAATTGTTTGAAGATATTTTGAGGGCTTGGAGAGGAAGCTGGTGACAGAGAGGGAGCGTGGCACAGGCAGGGGCTGCAGCCCCACTGGTCTCTTCCCCCAGTCTGCAAGCAAGGACTATGAAGGGATGCAAGCAAGCAAGCCTGCTGAGGGATGTGACTGGAGTGAGCAGCTCCCCCTTGCTGTCCAGGAGGTCTCCTAGGCTGAATACAGGACTGACTGCAAGTGGAGTAGTTGCTTCATCAATAACTGGAAGCCTGATCTTTGTGAAGGGCGCCTGCATCTTTATGTGGCTGATTTGGTGGTGGGACTGACTCTCCTCACCTCTGATGGGAGTTTTTAGCAGATCAGTGGGTGTCAGAGGCAAAGGTTGCTCTGGAATGCAAATGGTGTCTTCACATAGCAAAGCACCAAAATATCTCATTTTTTCAGCCATAGCTTTCTAGTGTCCCTGCAAAAAAGATAGGACTCTTTTATGCATTTTGGGTACAGGAGGGATGGTGGCACAGGTAGGCAAAAGGTCATCGTAGAAGCCACTTGTGGAGCTGGAAGCAGAACTTGCATCCCTTGACTTGAGCACTTGTGGTTCAACTAGTCTTGTACTTCCTCCCTTCTGGAAGGTTAAGGTCCTTTGTGTTATGGTTTTGGAGGCACCAAACCATCCTCTCCTGTGCTGTGTGGTCACAGCCTGCACCGGGCAGAGCAAAGACGGGGATCTGCACCCTTAAATTCCTTTGCAGTGTTGAGAGTTTTCATCTGGGCCTCTGCAGTTACTTGGGAGAGGTCACAAAGATGGCATGTGCTCTGAAACATGGGGCATGCTGAGACTGTGTGGGGCTAGAGCTCCAGGTGGATCTCTCAGGTTCTGGTGGGGCTTTTGGCAAGGTCTTGGTGCCAGTGTCATCCTGTTTGTGTAATTCCCCCACCTGCTTAACTGGATTCACTCTGTCTTTCTCTCGTCCTTTCTTGCTAGATTTTGAGCTGTCAAATGCCAACTTACAGCTTTGATCAGTATTCAAACTGGATCTCCTGGTCTCCAGGCATTGGCAGCTGGACTTACTGCAGTTAATACTGGCCCGAAATGCTGTAGCTATCAGAATGTGAAATGCTATTTGCAGTAGCCTTGGTTTAACAAAGCACTTACGGTGCTTGACTAGGCACACCCTGAAAAGGAAATCTGTGCTGAAGTGCTGTCCCTTATCTGGGACGCTTACCTGAGCTGAGGTCAGGCTGATGCAAGGGCTCTCGTTTCTCTGGGGAGCTGGTTTGTTGACCCAAGAATGTGCATTTTGTGTGGGATCATCTCAACGCTCACAAAATCAGTGGTACTGATGGCTGCTGGTCTTACAAGCCCTGTCCC